GAACTCCTGCCTGTGCTGCACAGTTTTGCTGTTGGCCCAGGAGATGGACCTTGGAGACTGTTGACATGGTGGCAGGGTTTCCTTTTTTTTAGGGAAACGGGTCAACTCCTCGCACAGCCCCTCAATGAATTGCCTCAGTCATCTTGTTGTCTATCAGTGACCACCACAGCAAAGCTCCCTGACCAGCTCTGTGCTGAGCCCAAGGCTTGAACCATTGCTGAAGACACCAGAGTACAGCAAACACTAGATAACACGCTGTTGAATAACAGATCCACCAAGACCATGCTCCCCTCAGAGGCATTTCAAGCTCCTGAGTTCCTTTTACTGGTCTGTTTTGACTGATATTAACCCATAGGCATTTAGCTTCAACACTTCCACCAACCTGTTTTTTCAGGGTATGCGTAATCACCTCATTACCATGCCAAGCCAGGGAGTTTCAACAGGCAATGAACCCCCATAGCTACTACTCAAGTGCCCAAAGGTCTGAATATCTAACTCTGGTACATCGTGAGCTGTGTCCCTCCATCGGAGGCATCTCCATAACGTTAAAGGAAACGTCACTTTCTAAATGTTGAGAGCTGCTGAGTGTTGCCCAAAAGTTTTTGTTGGATGGATGGTTTAGAAATGCTGTGGTGGTTTGCACGTTCCCCATCTGGAGGTGTCAAGGAAAGATAAACTTGAGAGAAACTCACATTTGCTCCACCACACTGCTACCTAACAGACTCCCAGTCCTTATCATCTGCCCATTTCCTTTTATCCCCAATTTGGGTGCACTATTAACAGCACTGATAGACTAGCAAGGCTCAGGCTTTCTTAGACTTGTTTTAAGCTAAGAACACCAACACCCAACCTCTTACCTCCTCCAGAAGAGCAGCTGCCCCAATCCCAGCAGCATTTTGCTATCAGGTGTTTGGTCTTGTTGGAAGGGAGAGCTGTGAGTTAGCCCTGCAAGCACTAGGAGCACTGCTCCCCAATCTCTCCAGCATGGAGCATGTTTGAAAGCTCTTTTCTTGCTCTTCTGTAACGTTAAAGTCACTGTGGGTTAGTGATGAGGGATGCTAGAGCTGTTGGGCCAACAGCTGCTTCCCAGCAGAAGCTAAAGCAGTTGATATGTTCCCATTCCCACTCCTCCATCCCTTGGAGACCTGTGTTTGTAAGAACATGTCTTGTTGACAGACACAACGTGCTCAGGGCTGTTTAGTACCGGTTGGACCCACCAATGGTGCTGATGGAGCAAGAAAGCAGAAGTTTTGCAGATCCAAACCAGATGGTGAATGAACCCAGATTCTCCCCAAGACAAATGATGAAGGACAAGATCCACTCAGCATGCGCAGAGCACGGCAACCCTGACAAACAAGCCATTTGCCAGCAGAAGAGTTTGGGGCTGGTTTATCTCCACAAGCCACCACAGCAGGCGGGCAGCGCTGCGAGGAGACCAGCAATTCAGTGTGATTGAACTAAGTCTTTGCTATTAGCAAAATCCCACGAGCAGAGATGTTAGGAATGGTCTTTCCATCTACAAACAGCATTTTATCTCTGGGTCAGCCCAATTACCCTGATTACTCTCTGATAAAACTCCACAGCAAGGTTCATTCGCTTCCACGCTCGTCAGACTGCAACAAGCACACTGATGTGGGGGGAAAAAGATCCCACATGTTCCAAGCTGAGCTTGAGTTAAGACATAAAACCACTAACCTTCTACTGCAGCCTGGTTTGTGCAACCCCTAAAGTCAAATGCACTTCAGCTGCCACTCTCCTTTATTCTCCTCCAGCTGTGCATGTAAACATAATAGAAAAAAACCCCAATTTCACTGTGTTACTGACAGTGCAATTACAGTGCGTGTGTGGCCCAAAAAAAAAGGGATTACTGAAAACATTTTCTTCAAGGAGTAAAAAAAAAAAAAAACCCAAAAAGTTACTTTCAGCCTCATCTTTTAGCTGAAATAAAATCCAACAGCTTGATTGTTTCCATATATAACAACATATAGAGGTCTCCTCCTATGTAAATGGTTTTATGTTCATCCCTTTACAATGAGATGGGCAAAAGCAATGGATGCCAAAGGAATAATTAGAGTTATCTGGGCATTCATATATTAAAAAAAAAGTACAAGCTGCTCTTTGTACAAGAATACTCTTCTGACAGACACTGCTGGAGTTTCTCAGTTCCTAGTTTTCCACCAAGTTCTAGCCCTGGCCCTTCTCTTGGGGTATCATTTTAGGTGAGCCACTTCACCCATGTGTGCCTGCCTGCAAATACTTTCCTTCCTCTTTAAGATACTTTTGGATCCAATACAAGAAAAACAACCAGCTATCTGATCCAACAGCCCTGAACAGGCTTCAGTGGACTTTCAGCCAATGCTTAGAGGAGCAAGGTACCATTCCAGTTTGGTACCATAGTTTGCATTTCTTAAGACCATGGCAGAGCCCATCAGATTCAGACCTGCTCTGTAGGCACTTCACGAGTTAATCAGGCATCCCTGCTTGAGTTTCCATCACAGAGAACTTTTACCTTTCCTCAGAGGTTTCATTTGTTCAACCAACACGTGACAGCTTCCAAGGCTTCCACAGTCACACCAGCAAGAGATGTGCTGGGGTGTCCAGACAGATGTTCCTGCAGGGCTCAAGGGAGTGTTGGATTTGTTTCATCCTTCTGAGCAGTGGCTGCAGCTGCACCAGAAGTTATTTCTGTCTCAAGTCCAACGGCTGCAAACGCTCTGGTGAGAACAGCCGCTGTGGGTGGGTTCCAGTCCCCACACAGGCTCTTCCAGTTACAGTGCTACAGCTTTTGTTTTTGACTGTCAGAGTTGACAACTAAGCCTCAATTTTCAAGGTCAGGACAGTTCACCACAGCAGCAACCTCTCACCATACAGATGGTCACCAGAGCCTCCTGAACTGAGCCCTAAGATGAGCCACAGCCTATTGTTGGCTCATCCAAAACCCTGGCTCTGGGGGGAACTGAACCAAGCTACACATCCAGGTCAGCCCAACCTCCCAGCAGAGCAATGACAGCTCTGGGAAGCCAACATCTCCCCTGCAACCCACCCCAAAGCCTCTTCCCTGGTGTGCTCCCCGCAGGAGGCCGCAGGAAGACGCTGCTGTTTTGCTTGTGGGACAGTTGGCCCATCCTGACTCACAGGTTCCTTGGAAGCGTGTCTCTTCAGTCTGTGCCTTCTCCAGTCATACTTAGCTTGGCACAGAGCACAACTAGGACTACGTTCCAGAGCCCTTGAGGAAAAGATGAAAGGAAAAACCTCAGATTATTGTTGCACACACTCCAACTCATCGGATTCATCCAGTTCCCTCATCCAACAGTCTCTCTAGCAGAGAAGGGGGAGGGAGAATCTTTTCCTGCGGCTGCAGCAGCACCATACAAAACCATCCTTCATCCTTGGCACTGCTGCAACCCGGCCTCAGCTCGGAGGAAAAATTATTTCAGGGTGTATATCTATTTGAAAAGGCAAAAAATGATAAAGTACATCTGGCAAAAAGTGTGTTTTCCCCATGCCAGGTTGGGCTTTTGGAACGGAGTCCTGTGCAAGGAGGCTGTGATTTTAAACCAACTATTTTTCAAACAAAAATAAATAATTTTTAAAAAATAAATTAATAATAATAAAAACAACAAAATCTGCAAATGCAACTCAGTGGCAGATTCCCCAAAACTTTGCACAGAAAGCCATGGACATCATAAACACACAAAAGATCAAACATCAACGAGATCAAGGTGCTGGAAACTAACCCCAGTGACAAGACAACAGGGCAACCGATACTCTTAGCCAAGGGCTACAGATTCTTTCCTAGGTTATCAATAAATTGTTTGTTTCCACCTCTCTCCTGTTATTTTTCTGGGAAGGTACCTCCCCATCAAACTCATTTTTATCTTGACAGTTGAATCACGCTGGCAGCCTGCTCTATTTAATCTTTACTACATCCTAATTAGCCTTGCAGAACTCAGCACTACTCTCCTGAGAGCTGGTTCCCTAGTGATGCCCCTGCCAAAACAATACCCATGAAACCCTGGATTTCCCTGCACAAGGACAGCCAGCACCTTCTGGTGTCAACTCAAGTCATCGTTGGTTTGCTGCAACAGACACACACTTGTATCCCATCTGTTGTCCCTACGGACCACAGCACTGCTCTGCTGGAAAGAAAGCGCTGCCTTGACGAGAGGGGCTGAGTCAGGAAGCAGGAGGAAAAAAAAACAACAACCCTTTGAGAGTGTCAGCCCACTCCTTCCTGTCCTCAACACACCACCAGGTCTCAAGGTAGGACATTCAATTGGTCATAGAGTTCACTTGTAGGACAACTGCTTTCTTGGCCAACATGGGAGAAACTGAATTTGGGAGATTCGACAAGCAAAGGCAAAACGTGCTACAGCTAATGTTAAAAAGGAAGAGACTTCTACTGTCATGTGCATCAGGGGTTGTGGTGGTTCTCATATAGATTGGGTATGAAACGATTCCCAGGTTTCTGCAGGCAGTGCAGCCACATCTCAGGGCTGCTGGTGCATCTTACAACCACTACCTGCATATTCCACAGCAGGAACAGCAATCCCTCTCCCACAACAGGAGAAAAAGAAATAGAAAAGTTAGGATGAGATTAATTGAGAAAACCAAGATGATGCAACCAAATAAGTTTATTGCAGAAACCCTTGGAGACACACTCTGGCCCCAGTCAGGGTAGGGAATCTGAGACCAGGGAACCATTGTGATGTGCAGTTTGTCTTGACAGACTCAAAACCAACTTTTGAACAAAAATATGACAGTATTGTACATGCCATCCTCAACAGAACAAGTGCTTGGACAGCAATCCTGTTCCTCAAGACCCTCCCCACAAGCTCCAGGAGAATAGCAGCATATCCAGAGCATTAATTGAGTAGGAATATTGAGACTGGTCAGCCCAGAGGCACTTGGAGGAGGCAAAAGCTGGAGCACCAGGATGCCTTCTGGACATGCTGACTGCCTGGCACATCAGGGCGAGTTCAGTGGGGCTAACACTGCTCCCAGCATGTGTCTTCACTCACAGAACAGCCTCAAGAACATCTAGACTGAATCTTCGTAAAAAGTCTTTGCCATGGCATGTGCCACTTTTACCACCTTCTTCTCCTTGGCATCCAGGCCCATGTTGCTGCGGGCAAGTTTAATCCAGTACTGCTCTGTCCTGGAGAGATAGTCTGCGTGCTCCTCATCAGGCTGGACAGATGGGTGTTGCTCTTCTCCTGGTACACAACGGGAGGAACACAGAGAGAGGGGTCACAAACAGCTAAGGAAGGCAATCTGCTCTTCCATGGGTCAACCCAGCCAAGACTGCTCTGCAGCTAATGTGTTTAAATGTAATAACCTAAAAAAAACCTATCAGTAACCAATGAAACTTCTCTATCCTGAGAGCAGTGTACTATGAAAACTTTACTTTTGCTGGAAAACTCACCTGGATGTCAGTGAGGCCTTCTAGGCTGGCACCTGAACTAGCAGGTATTGTACTAAAACCCACTTTATATTTGCATGAAGACAACATTCAACTTAACCATTACCTCTCTCATCTTCACTCTCCTCTTCAGAGCTTTCCTCTTCCTCTTCCCCTCCCTCTGCACCTTCCGTATCATCCTCCTCTTCATCTGATTCTGACTCCTCCAGCCATTCTTGTGCTTCTTTGATGAGAAAGAAAATAGAAGAAATAAAACATAAGCTGTTTCCCACTCCTACACCCAGAACTGTCATGGAGGATGCCAGGGCAAGGTCAGACAGATGTGCTCCTCAAGAGCTCTGCTGTATTCATTGCCCTCACAGATCCACCCACTGGATAGGGCCTGGCTCTGCTGGGGAGCAGTGGGAAGAGGTAGAGTCAGGAAGAAGCGAACAGCACAGAAGAGCTGTGGAAGAAAAGCTGGCTAGTGGTGATCGTGACAAGAGTCAACTCTCCTCCCT